AAAGTCGGCCTTCATCAATCTCTCTTTCAAGCTTATCTTTCAATTCATGGAAATGTGAACTGAAAAATAGTATATCGGATTCAAGCTGCTTTGAATAGATTCTCGGGTGAAGTTGGTGAATCTTAATATGATCAAATATGTTATCAATTGTGGGGTCCGATTCTTGGGTTAGCCTGATGTCAATTTTGTCAATTTCAAGGATGTCAATCACTTCGGTGAAAAAAGGGATATCTTGGTCTGAAAATTCTGCAATTTCGAAGTTTAAAAGGTTAAGAAATTTGTTAAAGTCTCCTTTCGTCTGGGTGTCAATTGAAAATTCTTTAATGGTGGGTTCATTGATATGGATTTTGGAGATTTTGGAAGATAAGATATCAGCTGCAAAAGTGCTCGTATCGAATCTTTCCGAATTCACAACAAATGTGAAATCTTTTTCATAGTTTTGGAATGGTATTTGTAAAACTGATTCTGCTTGGAGTCTAATCGAATTTGTCATATGCAAAAATGACATGTGAGGTGAAAAAAATGACATTTTTTATTTTTTAACAGGAAATCGTAATCGCCCGTAATCTTAATTGCCTGTGTCGTTTAAAGCCAATATTGACCTTCTATCGTACCATAGAAAAAAAGACAGGAACTTTTTTGCATTTTTTCAAAAATCTAAAAAAAAAAAAAAAGCTTTGGTAGCTACCCAAAATTTTTTCTATATAAAAAAATATAAACGGAATAGTTTTTTATTAGTCTAGTAGCAAAAAAAGTTCCAGTCTTTTTTTTTCTATGGTACGATAGAAGGTCAATATTGGCCTTAACGGCCACATGCAAATTTTGGGTAGCTACCAAAGATTTTTTTTTTATATATATATAATGATGAGAAATATCAACTTTCTTGACTTTTGCTATTTTAATAGTAAAAAATCCATTTTCTTAATTGTAAATTAAACCACCAAAAATTATATATATAAATTTAACTTAACTTTTTGAATATTTATCCACTTTCATTTAGTATTTCTTTTTTAATGAAATTGTTTCATAAATAGAAGTTTAATCAGTATAATAAGTGTACATGCATTTAATGATTTTATCTCAGAATAATGATTGGTATAATAAGTGTTATTGAACTGTAAACTTCTTCTTTTTGATCAAACACAAACTCTCTTCTTATTAATAAAAGGGATATCCCTTTTATTAATATTATTATTATATACAATTATATACAATTATCTATTTAGAATAATATGATATATATTTCAACAGAATAGAGCTTCAAATTACATTGTCATATGCATATAAAAAAAATTATACAAATGATTGAGTAATTAAGATTTTTAATTATATTGTAATCACATATCTCTTTAAATATAAAGTTATTTAGCTTTTGGTTTATTTCAACTAAATTATTAGATAAAAATCACTTCAAATGATTTGATTAAATTTTATTAAAATATTAAATGAAATCCAATTCTAATATTTGATGCTAAATTCCATTAAAAGAAGATTCAAATTTTATTAAAACCAATTTTCATGAAATTGTATAAAATAGTGTATTGCATATGTCATTAAAATCAATACTGAAATATCATTAAATTTTTATTAAAATTATATTAACAAAGTAAATAGAATTGTATAAACAAAACAAAATGTCAAATTTCATAAAAAGATGTTTTCAAATTGAGTTAAAAAAAAAAAGATTTTGAAATTAGATGAATAAAAGTGATTGAATTGAATAAAAATAAGCAATATATAATTCCATAAAATTAATTGTGCTGAAATTATATGGGAAATAATGATGTTTAAATTGTGTTTAAAACTTAATAGAAATTACATAAAAAAACATTTTTTTGTTGAAATGAAATAAAAATATTATTGTAAATTGGATGAATAAAAACAAAATTGGAATTGGATTTAAAAATACTATAAAATGGAACAGGATAAATAAATAATATAATGGAATTGGATGAAATAAAAACATTGTAAAACTGGATGAAACATTCATATTTCAAATATCATGAAAACAATCGATAATAAACATCATTTAATATTTCAAATGAATTTTATTGTTCTCATTTTCATCAGTTGATACTGGTATTTCTAATTGATCTACATTTTCAAGTTCAGCTTGACTGTCTTTTCTTTGTTCATTGTCAACTTTTTTAATGTTGCCGTTGCTTCTCTCTTTTAAATGTTGAACTTCATGATCATATTCCTTTTGTTCTTCAGATAATTTCTCTTTAAGAGATCCGATTGATTCATGAAGATGTTGTTTCTCTCTTTCATAAAGTTTGAAGCTGTTACGGTTTTCACTTTTTAAAAGGTTTATTTGATTTTTGAGAGAAGTGATTGATTCTTGAAGTTGTTTTTTCTCTTTTTCATACTTTTCAATTAAATTTTCATTCTGTATTTTCAAATTTTCAATTTCTTGGCCATATCTCTTTTGTTCATCACATAATTTTTTTTCTAATAATTGAACTTTTTCAGAGTCATTTTTCTGTTGATTAATATTTTGAATTCTTAAATGGTCGATTTGTTGACCATTCTTTTTCTGATGTTCATTCAATAAATTGATGTATGAATCAATTTCTTTTTTGTCAACGTTTTCAATGTATGTGTCAACTTTTTGAGAGAGTTCTGAAAATATCTCTTCAAAGGTAGGACGATTATTTGGCTCTGAATCCCAACATTTTTCAATTAAATTTTTCATATTTGAATTTATTGTTGAGGGAATTGTAGGTCTAAGTGTTCCGTTTGCAATTTTCTTCATAATTTTCATGTCCATGACTTCAATGCCTGGATAAGCTTGGCTTTTTGACATGATTTCACAAGCCATAATTCCAAATGAATAAACATCAACAGGAGGACCATATGGATTGCCAAGTAAAATTTCTGGTGCCATATATGTTTGTGTTCCAACTTGAGATTTCAGCATCGTCTCTTTAAAACGTCTTGAAAAACCAAAATCACATAATTTAGGGTAGAAATTCTTGTCAAGTAAAATATTTCCTGGCTTTAAATCACGGTGAAGAATTTTATTAAAATGTAAATATTTCATTGCTGAAGCAATGCCAAGAAGAGTAATATATTGTTTTGTCAATGTCCATTCTGGTGGAGATAATCCTCGATTAGCTTCATTCATTATTGTATATAGTGTTTTGTTTTCAACAAATCCAGTGAATATCGTTGGTTGCCACTGGCTTTGATCTTGAAATGATATAAAACTGAAGCCTTTGAACTCAATTATTGCTGGATGATGTATCTTTTTCAATATAACTACTTCTCGTATTAGAGATTGTTGGGATTTTGGTGTTAAATATGAGGTTGCTTCCAATTCTTTGGCAGCATAAGTCTGACCTGTTTTTTTATCCTTAACTGTAAAAACATGGCCATAATTTCCACTATCTATTTCATCTTCGGCAAAAGTTAATTTGTCTGTATCAATAAAGATTTCTTCTGAATCCATTTTATTTTCTTACAAAAAAAAATAAATTTTTTGATTAAAATACGTTTGAAATAATATAAAAAGTTCTATTCATTATTGCACCGATTAAAAAATTTCAATAAAATAATTGAATAATTTTAAAATTGAATAATATACTATTGTATTTCCTTTTCAAAACTATCATATCATTCAAAATTTCAATAAATTACTTTTTATTTTTTACATCAATATGAATTATTATTATCTCATAATAATATTTGATTATTACATCAATAAAATAAAATATTTACATTTCAATTGATATATTTAATGAATTTCTCTTTTAGAAAATAATTTGCTAAATTATAAAAGAGACATCAAGCAAAGATAATTCTATGTTATATTACAAATTATTGAATCTGAATAATCAATTGATAGCAAATAATAGGATATCAATAAGAAGCTTTGATGGCTCAGTAGGTTAGAGCGTAGGCCTCATAATCCTAAGGTCGTGTGTTCGAGTCACACTCAAAGCATTTTTTTGGTTTTTTTAGAATTCTAATCAAAGATCTTATTCAAGAAAGTAATATTCAAAATGTTAAAATCCAATTTGTAAGTATTTTAAGGCTTTAATTTTCATTTACTTTTGGATTTTTCGAAATATCATATCATTTCAAATAATTATTTATAAAATAACCATACATGAATAAGTAATCATCAAAATTTACAATTTATTTTATGACAATATTGAAAATGGTCACCTCAGTTATATTTAATTAAGGAAATCAAATGACTAAAATATAAATATAAATGATAGAGAGAACTCAACATTTTCATGAAATTGACAATGGTTGTTCTAACAAGAAATGGAATTACAAATATTCTTGAGTGAGCAACATTTGGCAAAAGCATATTGTTTGATTAACGAAACACTTGATAAAAATGATACTTCATATAATAATGTGCACCCACAAAAAGATTTTTCACCAATATAAACGACTGATTTTGGTATTTCTATTTTCTTCAATGAAGCGCAATCACAGAAAGTACGTTTTCCAATTGAAATAACAGAGGATGGAATTTTGACTTTTTTTAATGATGAACATCCATTGAATGAATCATATCCAATTTCTAAAACAGATGAATCTAATTCAACATCAGTTATATTGACGAATATTATTAAATTTTTTTTTTCCTCATGAAAAAAAGCTCTTGTCCTCGTGCTAAGCCAATAGCAAAAGCTGGTTTCCATTAAAGAAAGTATCTTACACATTAAAAAAGGCATCATCAATTATTTCATCTCCAGACAATTCTTCATTCTCAACTTCCTTTTGCATGGATGAGAAAAAATGTTTGATAATATTATTTTTTACATCATTGTGAATCATTATTATCTCATAATAATATTTGATTATTACATCAATAAAATAAAATATTTACATTTCAATTGATATATTTAATGAATTTCTCTTTTAGAAAATAATTTGCTAAATTATAAAAGAGACATCAAGCAAAGATAATTCTATGTTATATTACAAATTATTGAATCTGAATAATCAATTGATAGCAAATGATAGGATATCAATAAGAAGCTTTGATGGCTCAGTAGGTTAGAGCGTAGGCCTCATAATCCTAAGGTCGTGTGTTCGAGTCACACTCAAAGCATTTTTTTGGTTTTTTTTAGAATTCTAATCAAAGATCTTATTAATGAAAGCCATTCCAGTTTAGTATTTTAAAATCCAATCTATCAGTATTTTAAGGCTTTTATTTTCATTTACTTATGAACTTTTAGAAATATAATATCAATTCAAATTTGAACAAACGATATTAATAAAATATAGCATATTTGATATTCAAAATCTAATCTGGTCTTTTTCAAGTTTTATTCAACTTGCACAAATCATCAAAAGCACCAGCTTCAATTCGTTTCACAGACGAAGGAATAGAAATTTCAGTCAACGATACGCACTTTTTGAAAGCATAACTTTCAATTGACTCTAAATTCGAATTTCCATCAAAAGTGACTTTATTCAAATTTGCGCATTCGCTGAAGGCATAACCCTCGATGAAAGTTACGGATGAAGGGATAGAAATTTCAGTCAAAAGAACGCAGTTTTTGAATGCATATCTTCCAATTATTCTCAAAGAAGAATTTCCCTCAAACGTGACTTCTTTCAGACGTTTGCAGTCAGCGAAAGCAAAGCTTTTTATTGCTGTCACTGAAGGAGGGATAGAAATTTCGGACAAGCTTGTGCATCTTTCAAAAGCAGAAGGGCCGATAAATGCAACAAAGCCGGGAATTTTGATTGATTTCAAAACGCAGCATTCAAAAAAGGTAAACTCGTTTATTGCTCCACAATTTGGAGGAATGACGAAGTTGTTAAAATCAGCACAACCTTCGAAAGCCGAGCCTTCAATTACAGTAACAGTATCAGGCAAAGACACGTGGCCAAGATGAGTGCAACCTTTGAATGATTTACTTCCCAGTTTTTGAATAGGTGAAGTGATGTCAAGTTCTTTCAAATTTGTGCAATCAATGAAAATTGAATCGCCAATTGACTTCACTAAAGGAGGGACATTTATCATCTTCAAGTTGGAACATCCTTTAAAAGCCAAGGATCCAATCGAAGTCAGCAAAGAATTTTCACCAAAAACAATTTCAATTAATTGAGAGCACTCTGAAAAAGTGGAATCGCCGATCACTTTTACAGAAGAAGGTATCTGAATTTCATTCAATTTGGTACAAAGTCGGAATGATGCGGATCCAATTTCTCTTAATGTGGAACCGTTATCAAAACTGACACTTGCCAACTTTTTGCAGCTGACAAAGGCGAAATCGCCGATAGTTTTGAGAGAGGGAGGGAAATGAATTTTACTCAATTTTGAGCATCCTTTGAAAGCAGAAGATCCGATGCTTTGTAATTTAGAATTTACATCGAAAGTAACTTTTGCTAAATTGGTGCAATTAATGAAGGCAAGATTGTTAATATACATGACAGAAGGAGGAATATGAATCTCACCTAATGCCTGACAATCATTGAAAGCATTCGCGCCAATACTTAACAATGTTGAATTCTCTTCAAAAGAGACTTCTTTTAATTCAGAGCATTCAAAGAAAGCTTTTTCTTTAATTCTTCTTATTGAATAAGGAATTACGATATCTTTCAAGTTATTACAACCATTGAATGCATCTGAATCAATCGACTTGACAGAAGAAGTCAATATTACATTTGTTATTGAAGTGCACTTTTTAAAGGCGCTAGAATTGATTCTTGTGACGTTTTCTCCAACGGTTATTTTCTTTATTGTTGAAATAATATTTATGTTCGTTCCATTGATTCTTCGTGTGGAAGGGCCAATTTTTAAATGCTCCATTGACCTGCAATTAGTGAAAGAGCTTTGCTTTATCGTTGTGCGTTTCAAATCAAGCGTGATTTCAGAAAGACTCGTGCATCCACTGAATGATTCCTCGCCAATCTCAGATACAGAAGAAGGAATCGTTATTGACTTCAATTTAGAACAACCTTCAAATGCTTTGTCTTCAATTCTCGTCAAAAATGAATGTAACGTAACTTCTTCCAAGTTTTCGCAATTTTTAAATGTATAAAGTTTAATAACTTTAACTTTCAATGGAATCGAAATTTGTTTCAATGATTTACAATCACGAAAAGCACTTGACTTTATCTCTCTTATCGTTGAAGGAAGGTTGATTTCAACCAAGCTTGAGCATCCGAAAAATGTTGATGGTTCGATTGATTTCAAAGACGAAAGGTCTTCAAATGAAACCTTCTTTAACGAAGTGCAGTTATAGAATGCATTCATTCCTAGAGTCTCCAACGACGAAGGAATTGTTATTTGCTTCAATGAAGAACAACATTTGAAAACAGATGATCCGAGATAAATTAAAGCAGAATTTGGTCCAATCGTTACTTCACTCAAATTTGAACAATATTTAAAAGCACCATCTTTAATTTTTGTAACTGATGATGGTATGTTTATTTGTGTCAGTCCTTTGCAATCTTCAAAAGAATATTCGCCAATTTCACTCAATGAAGAAGGAAATGAAAAACTTGTCAATTTTGCACATTCATAAAAGGCAAAATCATCAATTGTTTTCAGAATGCATGAAGGATCAATTTTAACAGTGGTTAATTCAGAACATGCTTGAAATGCAGAGTATCCAATGAACTCAGTTTTTAAAGGAATTGAAATGGATTTCAATTTGGAACATTTGCTAAAAGAATACTTTTCAATTCCTAACAAGAAAGCTGAATTATCAAAAGAAACTTGTGTCAATTCTGGACAATTACTAAAACAATTCTCTCCTATTTGTACAACAGAAGGAGGAATATATGCTTCTTTTAATGAAGAACAGTCACTGAAAGCAAAATTGCCAATTTGCCTCAATGTCAAATTTTCGATTTTAATTTCATTCAAATTTTTGCATTTGTAGAAACAATACGAACCAATTTCTTCAACAGTTGAAGGGATACTTATATGATCCAACGATTCGCATTCACAAAAAGAATGTGAGCCTATCGTTTTCAATGATGAAGGATTGTCAAATATGACGTCTTTCAATTCTTTGCATTTATAAAAACAATTTGAGCCAATCGAAGCAGCACGAGATGGTATGAAAATGCAAGGTAATGAAGAACAATCACTAAATGCAGCATCATCAATTTTTTCAATTGATGAATTATCATCAATTTCGACTGTGGTCAATTTGGAACAATTTTTGAATGACCTAAGGCCAATTTCAGTAACGGACGAAGGAATTTGTATATTCGTTAATGAACAACAACCTTCAAAGGATCCTTTGTCATTTCCACTGATTCCAGTAACACAATTGTCAATAAAAATGTAATCAATCATGGCTTCATCTGTGAATCGTGAAAATGGGTTCGACAGCCCAGTGATAAAAATTGCCATTTTGAACTTTTTCTCGCCAATTTTTGTTTTCAAATCTTTGACAAAAGTGAAAATTTTGTCAAAAATAATGTTTTTTATTTGTGATTTCAATACAACTAACAAATTCTTGAAATCATTCAACTTCATTACATATTCATTAACGTCATTTGACTTATTGAAAAAGTTCTCTATAACCTCTGAATTTATTCGAATTGTACATTCATTGAATTTTTCTTTCAAATAATTTTCATTGTTATTTGTCTCAAATTCAAAGCATTCAAACATTCTTAATTCTGAGAACTTGGTTAGATAGTCTATGAAATTGATAACTTTTTCAAAGAACTCTCCTTTTTTCACATCCAAGGGACCAAATTCTTCCACAATTTTCCTTAGCGTTTTTCTTTTCATTTCAAGCTTTTGGGAATTGAATTCAGTGACGGTTATGGATGTCTTCAAATCTTTGTCATCTACTGCTGTTATTTTTTGTATATAATTGTAAAATAACTCACTGTCAACATCATCTAATATGCACTTATAATTATCATGGTCATCTTTCTCGGTTAAGGTGTAATAAATAAGATCAAATGTTGGCCTGTTAGAAGGGTTTTGATCCCAACAGCTTTCAATTAATTGTTTGAATGGCTCCTCAATGTATCCATCAAATACTGGACGAGCACCTTCCACAATTTTGTCACATATGGGCTTGAAAGCTAATTTTTTGAACTCTTTATAAGGAACTAAATTGGTAACAACTTCGTATAATAAAATTCCGTAGGCATAAACATCAACTGATTTGTCGTAATCATGGCCTAATAAAATTTCAGGTGCCATATAATTTGGGGTACCATCATAACGTGTTTGGTGCTTTGGGTCTTCTGGATCGATCTGTTTTGATAGATTAAAATCTGTAATTTTTGGTTGATAATTTTCGTCGAGTAAAACATTACCTGGTTTAATATCGCGATGAATAATGTCCTTGTTATGTAGGTATTTGAGACCATACGCAATTCCTGTTATTATAATTTGTTTATTTGTATTAGTAAAATTATCTGGCATACGACTTTCACGAATAATATCGAGAATATCTTGAAGAGATCCATTTTGTGCCAGTTCCATTATTATAGTGATATTGTTATAATTATCAAAGTCAGTTAAAGAAAAGCCTAATAACTTGACAATTGTAATTTGATCACTAGAACTCAGTATGAATATTTCACGGCGGGCCAAGTCATCGAATCCATCTTTGATATTAAAAACTTTTGCAGCATAATATTTTCCTGTGCTTTTTTCTTTCACTTTATAAACGTTTCCAAGTGCTCCTTTACCTATTTTATCCATACTTTGGTATTTATTAATATCTATTTTATATTTATTAATCTCTGTTTCAAATCCATCCATTTCTAAACAAAATTGATACAAAATTTTAATTTGATAATAATACGTTATATTTCTTTTCAAATTAACGTCTAAAGAGAAAAGTTTTTTTCTCAATTTTTCAAACTGCCCTCTTATTAAAAATACGTATATATCAAGACCTCTACACAGATGTATTAAATATATTGCAGTTTATTCTTTTTTTTTTTTTCAAAAAGCATTATTCCATATTATTCTCATTTTAAATAAATAGTAAGGAATTTTATTTTAATCAATTTTATTAATTAAATGATTAGATTGTGTATTTACTTTTGTTCACTATTGGCATCTTTAACATATATTGAGTCAACAGCAACGCCAGGTGCTGCCTTTTTGATAAA